ATATGACTATGAAATGTTCCAATTATTCATCAGCAGAAAAAGCAGCCACAGAGTCAAACTACTTTCAATTTTCATAAAGGATGAGAAGAGTAACTGACTATATTTTCAGTAGAAGAGATTCTACTTTTGGCCAAATTCCCTTTCTGCAAGGACACGTGAGCATTGGAGCAGAGACAGCATGGCTGGGGCTGCAGAGTTCAGGCAATCCCTAATGTCTGTTATACAAAAACATATTAGGGACTGGCTAAATGTGAGGTCCTGTGCCAGAGCAGGTAGATGGATGAGGTACCCTCCTGAATTTCTATAAAAATCATTTACTAAACAACTTCAGCTGGTAAGCACAAAAGGACTGCTTTCTGTAACATTTCCTCTTTTCTGAGTTATCCTTTATGCAAGTGGGGAATCTGCTGGATGATTCATGCTTAAATGTAATATTCAGTTAACAGATGCCTCATATAGCCAGAAGTTCCTATGAATACATTATTCTATGACTTTCTGTTCATCATTTAATTTTTTTCTCATTCCCAAATCCACAGGAAGACAATCTGTATTTTCCCTTTGCATTTACAATCCTCAGATTCTCACTGCTTCCTGCTGCAGTACTGCACACATTGCTCTGTTTATATTCAACTGATCTCTTCACCTTTATCTGCATTCATCTTGTGGTACAATCTCTTGTTCATTTTCAGCTCAGCCACATTGGTGTCATAATAATGATTCTTATTTTTAATTCATACACTCTGGCCATACTTTTATATGCCTTTTGCCATATCTGTGCTTCTCTCCTTTCTCTTTCCAAAAATAAGGTTATAAGCAGCTAGATTAATGTTTGTCAGCAACACTTTGGGTTTAATGACCTGGCCCTAGATGGACAAGATAACCTCCTCAGGTCTCTTCTGGCTTATTTTCTCCAGTTCTTTGGCCACAGGAAAAAGCATGGCTTAACCAATTTAGAGAGATCAAGAATTGTTTCCATTGCCTCCAGACTTCTCTCAAACTTCAAAGTAATTTAAGAAAATGATGTATCAAATCACTTGAACAACTAGGAAAATATGCCAGAAGTCTTCAGACCTGTATATCTGCTCTATTCACTAGCCTTTCTAGACTCAAAGCTGTTAAGATATTTCGATTAATATCACTAACAATATCAACGTCCTATTTAAAAAACTGTCACCTGGTCAACAGTCAAACTGTATCAGAGAAACTTCTCATCCTCCCTGATGCCTTTTTGCCTTCAATATCTCCTATGATTTGCAAGAAATCTTTAGAAAATTCTCTCACCAGCCTGGGCATCCTTTGCAGCCTGCAGTATGCTGTCCCCCTCTGTCATCCCTGCTGCTCCCTGCTCTTGGACCTCAGCTCTGCTGTGCCTGAAGATGAATCTTGTTAAGCAACCCTGGCTCACTCCCACCCTGTTGTTAATGTTTCACTTCACAACAGCAGTCCCTTGGTCACCAGTAAAATAGTTAAACTTTCATTTATTTTTTATCTTTAAGTTAAACTGAAGTAATCTTTGCTCAGTTAAGCAGAGAAAATCTGCCTTTCTCCTTGAATACAGCCTCTAAGGCTGCAATGCA